AAAAAAAAAAAAAAAAAAAGACAATAGTATAGAACGACTAAACACAAAATTATTAATAAAGACTTGAATATATCACACTTGATCCCTAACATAACATTTAACGAAAAAAAACCAAAAAAACAAACAATATCAATCAAACACCGAAACAAAAATAGCCAGCTAAGACAAAAATAATATAACTACGGGTCGCTGTAGCCGACGGAGCTGACCCCGTCCCCACCACCGCCGCCGCCGCCGTTGAATAGGCCCGTGATGTAAGTCATGGCTTTGACCTGCATTTCGAGAGCCGCTATGTAATCACCTGTCTCTTCTAGAAGGCTCGGCAGCGACGCCTTCCGGCAGCCGGGGACCAGCCGGCTTAAAACCTTCACCCTCCTCTGCACCGCTGGCAGCCTCCTCTGTGCCGCTGGCGCTTTCGCCCGCCTGACGGCGGCGGCCACCGGCCTCTCAGCCTTCTTGTGCTTCCTGTTGATGCGGGCTAGGCGGAGCCTGAGCCGGCCGGCGAGGATGGCTCGGCTCCAGCGGGTTCTCCCACCGGCGGAGACTGCCAGGACACGGTCGGCGGCCTCTCGGACGGCGTGGCCGGCCTCGGCGGAGGATTCGGGGCGGCGGAGGCGGCGGAGGGCGTCGACCAGCTTCGACGAGTAGATCCGCTGGACGGCGTCGTTGAGCCATCTGGGCCGGCCCGTATCGACGTCGGGAAGTTTGTGCTCTGTTTTCCTCCGCTTGCGGGGCGGGTCGGGATCCGATGCCGAATACGGCTCTGCCGTTTGCAAAGGATTGTTACTCATTTTCTTCTTTTTTCCCCTTTCAGAAATCCAATTTCAACTGCAAAGATAGTAAATAAATCAAAGTGAATAAAAATCAATATCAAGACACGAAAATGTGAGTAAATTTATAGAAAAAAAAAAAAGGATATAGAATAGAATAGAGAGAGCAGAATAGAATAGACAGTACCTGAAGTTTTTGGGGAGGAAAATATGGGAATGTTGTGTGTTTATGAGAGGAGAGGCAAAAGGGGAATATAGAGAAAATGGGAGAGAAGTGGAGGAGCAGTGTATGTATGTGTATAGTTGTGGTGTTGGGGGTGTAATGTAAATTGTCACGAAAAAGAAAAAACGACAACACACACGCGTCTTTTGTCTATTCATCAATTTAATGCACTACCACACTATAATCTATATCACATTATTACTCCTTTTATTTTGTTAGTTTTCTCTCTCATTTCTCCATGTGCAGATAATCACATGGTTTTTCTTTGGTCATAATTTTTTAAAAAAAAAAAACGAATTGTTCAAAAAAATGGATTTTCTCTCCATCGCTTGGAAAGTTTATAATTCTTGATTTCCCCCTATTTCCCAATTTATCTAGTAACCAATAAGGTTCTTGCTAATTTATCTGTGACCTTCTTCCTATGAGTGTGCCTTCCATAGTCGAGCGCCGAGTCAACCGTTGGTGGTCGGCTCTGGCCGGTGCGGTCCTTCACCAGGGCGGCAAGCGAATGGCCGCTAGACGAACTCGCCTTTTTTTTGGGGCCGTTTTGGGGTGGTATCCTCGGCCTTTGGGCGTCGCAAGGGTGGTGCAGACGTGCTTTCCTGGGATGGTTGCGGCTGTGGCTGCCTGCCGGGTGGCTGGAGCGTTGGCACGGTGGGCTGCCCTTCTTGGGCCTCTTTGGTGCTGGGTTAAGTGGCGGGCGACATCTTCGATCTCGACAGTGGTGTTGGACGGGGTGGGGGAGGCTCCAGTTGGGAGGGAGGGGGGATTTGGCCGTCGAGTCACCGGCTACGGGCAGAGGTTGTCCCCCCCGGAGTTGGGTTTGCTCTTGGGGCGAGGGTCCAGTTAGACTTTAGGCAGTTTTTGGGCTCTTCTCGAGGCGTGGCCCGATCCGGTGGGGTGGTCGACTGTGAAGCCTCGATTGTTTATTGGATTTTTTGGATTATTTAATTGCATTATTATTTTTATTTGATATTAATTGCCTAATTGATATTCATTGCTTAATTGTTATATAAATTATTGTGTGTGGTATATATATATATATATATATATATGTGTGTGTG